GCAATCCTTTCCCCCATAATTACGTAGTTAAAAAAAAAAAAAAAATTTTAATTTTTGTGGAGGTGGAGTGCGTGTGTGGTTGTTTTAAGACCAAGAAGTTCTTGCAATTCTCCTGTAAACCACAGGATTGTTTAAAGACCTGAAAGTTATCGACACCTTTTGCCCCTCTCCATGCCTAGTCCAGGCCTCATCTTTGTCGCTCTTCTTCTTCTCGCCCTAATTCATGAGACCTGCAGTGCCAAAGATAAACATTACTGTCCACCTTCTTCTTGTGGAAATAATTCGAATATTAGCTACCCTTTCAGATTAAACACAGATTCGCATAATTCCTGCGGAATGACTGCAGATCCAGTCTATACTCTATTCTGTGAGAACAACCTTACAGTACTGTACTCTGATCAATCAAGAAAATTCTACGTGAAAGCAATCAATTATGACAATCAAACAATTCGAGTAGCTGATGCTAGTTTTGAAGAAGGGAGCTGCTACATACCTCAATATTCTTGGGACGTCTCTAACTTCTCAACGTTTCAACAAGATTATTATTATTATTATTATTATTATTATTATGCCTATGGTGTTTATTTTTGGGAGGATGTTCTTTTCGTAAGTTGTAGAAATCTTGTAAGTGATCCTCTTTATGTGGAAGCTCCTGCCTGCATCAATGACAGCTCTTTCTCCACACCTTATAGGCCTAAATCTGAAGGCAAAAGGTATTATTATGTGAAAATTGGAGGGACAACTCTACTTGAGTTAAAACCCTCATGCCGTATTGAGCTAACGGCACTTACACCTTTCATACGGGAGAAGAATTACGAGAACCTCTCCTACCTGGACATCCACCATTGGTTAGCATATGGAATTGAGTTGTCGTGGCGGTATGTTTCATGTGGAGAGACAGATTCTTCCTACATTAATAAGGAAAACCATTGTGTTTCTTATCTTCCTTCTGTTCCTGTTCCTGTTCCTTTTCCTGCAGATCATGGTACTTTAGAAACAAATTCTTTTGATTTGAGTCCCAATTGTGCATATATGTGCCTTTTCATTTCTTGGTCGTATCTTTTTTAGTTGCCAAAGGTTTTGGCTAATTTTGTTTACTTCATGCAGGGAGCCGAGCTTATGAAGTATTCGACAGAGCTGTAAATTTGCTCAGTCATTATTTACCTTGTGAGTACCTCTAATCTATATTTTGTTCAAATATATTATATATATGAAGTAAGAATAAAGTCTTAAGTAGTATAAGGAGGGTATAGAGTCAACTCTATCCATTTGGTTTCTCTTTCTTCTCTTCCTTTGATTCTCTAAAAATGAGTTTAACTTTATGGTAATTTTATAAATATTTTGATCTTTAATAGTATTTTGATAGATAAAAGTTTTAAATTAAGTAATGACAATAGGTGTAATTTTTGTTAAACTTTTATCTAGTTTATAATTACATTTTTCTTAATTTATATCTTTTTTCTATTTGAATGAAAATTTTTTATCTTTTTCTATTTGATGCTATTTTTGCAATAGTTATCTTTTTACTTTTTACATTTATATGAAAATTTTTGAATCTAATCTTAAAATTTATTATGTTTTAAATCAAATAAATTAAATTTGATAAAATAATTTTAGTTTTACATATTTTTATTATAGAGTATTAAAAGATTTTTTAAACTTATTATAATATTCATAAACTAATTATG